GGGCGTCGGCATCTGAGGGTTGACACCTGACGGCTTTATTATTGTCTCTGCTCTGACAGAGACACCTTGGCTCCGTCTGCGTCTCCTCTGATCTCTCCTGAGCTGTGAAGCAGGTTCAGTCGGAGTCTGTGTTTAATGAATCAGAGCTGACTGAGATCCAGGAGTCACTCATGATAAACGGAGAGCATTTACTGTATCGTTTGCTGTTAAAATACTCAACTTTGCTGTGACAAAAGCCATTCGTGCTGATATGGCAAGAAACAAACAAACAAATACAATGAAATCAACAAATCCAACATTTGATTGATTTGTTTGTTTGCATTTATTTATTTCCATTTATTTGCTTAGTTATATGTATTTATTTTTTTACAGAATTCTATTTGTTATATTTAATATAGAATTAATTATTAAAATTAAAAATATTGAAAACATTTTATTTATATTTATTATACATATAAATAATATTATTAAATTAATACATTTATTTATTTATTTATTCGTTTTTTATCATATTAATGATTGATTTTTTATTTAACTATTTATATTTTTGTTTAATTAAACATATAATTAAAAGATAATAAGGTTAGAGCTGTTATGAAGATGGTATGAAATTGAGGTGGTGTTGTGTGCAGTGTTATTGTAGTATAATTTATAATTTTTTTTATTTTATTTTTATATTTTCCTTTTTATTTTAATTTTAGTCAGTTTTAGTAATTAGTGTTTGTTATTTTTTTAATGATTTTTTTGCAGCTTTTATTGATTTTTATTTTAGTCAATTTAAACTAAATTAAAATGAGAAACAATTAGTCATTTTTAGTAGTTTTTTTTTTCTTTACAGTTTTTATTTTAGTCAATTTAAACTAAATTAAAATGAGAAACAATTAGTCATTTTTAGTAGTTTTTTTTTTCTTTACAGTTTTTATTTTAGTCAATTTAAACTAAATTAAAATGAGAAACAATTAGTCATTTTTAGTAGTTTTTTTTTTCTTTACAGTTTTTATTGTAGTCAATTTAAACTAAATTAAAATGAGAAATGTTGCCTTGGAATGTTGCCTAGCTGAAATAAAATTTTTGCACACACTTTATTGTTTACATTTTGTATTGTATATTGTATTTTTGTGTTTATTTTATTTCAAGTGATTTTTTTAATTTCTGTTTTTTTAATGTACCTTTTATTTTATTTTAGTTATTTTTATTTTATTTTATTTTTAGCAATGGTTGCTTGGTTGTAGAGTGAGACTAAACTCCTGTTATTCTAGATATTTTAACCTTAGATCAACAAGTTTGAAAGCAGCAGGAGGGAGTGAAATACAGAAAGCGGGTCAGACATCATTGTTGTTGTTAATGAGTGTATTTGGTTAATGTTGACTGGTTCAGGTGTTACTAGTGAGTTAGTGAAGGTTAAATCAGATTTTACAGCCATTAAATCATCAGAATCATGTTGTTTTGATATAAATATAACGGAGATGAAGTTTGTGAGTCCGTGTGTTTCCATTGAGTCATCTCTCTTTCCCAATCCTGTGAGTCACCAATCAGCCGCTCTGATTAAAGCAAACACGCTAATGACACGCAAACGCCGTGATGAAGATGCATCTTCGTCATCATCAGTGTGTTTTTACTCGTCTGTCCTCAGAGTCGAAGTCTCTCTCTCTCTGTCTGAGCATCCCTCGCTCGCCCGCCGCTGCTCTCAGCCTAATTGGCTGACAGTGGAGTGTCTTTGTCGTCATGGAAACTACTCTAATGTCTCTTTATTGGACATCACGGCCTTGAGTCGTGGTCGGCGCGGCGACGCTGGAAGAAGAATTAGTGAGGAGAGGAAACCGAGAGAAGTGCTGTAGAGAGTGATTTCAGACGATCAGCCTACAGGAAGATAAAAGCAGTCATTATTTCCATCAAATTACATGCTCTCAAATCACATCAGGGTTATCATAGTTAACCAAAACCATAAAAATATTGTTACTTGAAAAC